GCCATGGGGGGGTATCTGAAGCCATCAGGAAGGTATTTAGGTAGTTTTTGAAGGGGATTTCAGCCATGGGGGTATCTGAAGCCATCAGGAAGGTATTTAGGTAGTTTTTGAAGGGATTTCAGCCATGGGGGGGTATCTGAAGCCATCAGGAAGGTATTTAGGTAGTTTTTGAAGGGGATTTCAGCCATGGGGGGGTATCTGAAGCCATCAGGAAGGTATTTAGGTAGTTTTTGAAGGGGATTTCAGCCATGGGGGGGTATCTGAAGCCATCAGGAAGGTATTTAGGTAGTTTTTGAAGGGATTTCAGCCATGGGGGGTATCTGAAGCCATCAGGAAGGTATTTAGGTAGTTTTTGAAGGGGATTTCAGCCATGGGGGGGTATCTGAAGCCATCAGGAAGGTATTTAGGGTAGTTTTTGAAGGGGATTTCAGCCATGGGGGGTATCTGAAGCCATCAGGAAGGTATTTAGGTAGTTTTTGAAGGGGATTTCAGCCATGGGGGTATCTGAAGCCATCAGGAAGGTATTTAGGTAGTTTTTGAAGGGATTTCAGCCATGGGGGGGTATCTGAAGCCATCAGGAAGGTATTTAGGTAGTTTTTGAAGGGGATTTCAGCCATGGGGGGTATCTGGAAGCCATCAGGAAGGTATTTAGGTAGTTTTTGAAGGGGATTTCAGCCATGGGGGGGTATCTGAAGCCATCAGGAAGGTATTTAGGTAGTTTTTGAAGGGATTTCAGCCATGGGGGGGTATCTGAAGCCATCAGGAAGGTATTTAGGTAGTTTTTGAAGGGGATTTCAGCCATGGGGGGGTATCTGAAGCCATCAGGAAGGTATTTAGGTAGTTTTTGAAGGGATTTCAGCCATGGGGGGGTATCTGAAGCCATCAGGAAGGTATTTAGGTAGTTTTTGAAGGGGATTTCAGCCATGGGGGGGTATCTGAAGCCATCAGGAAGGTATTTAGGTAGTTTTTGAAGGGGATTTCAGCCATGGGGGGGTATCTGAAGCCATCAGGAAGGTATTTAGGTAGTTTTTGAAGGGGATTTCAGCCATGGGGGGGTATCTGAAGCCATCAGGAAGGTATTTAGGTAGTTTTTGAAGGGGATTTCAGCCATGGGGGGTATCTGAAGCCATCAGGAAGGTATTTAGGTAGTTTTTGAAGGGGATTTCAGCCATGGGGGGTATCTGAAGCCATCAGGAAGGTATTTAGGTAGTTTTTGAAGGGGATTTCAGCCATGGGGGGGGTATCTGAAGCCATCAGGAAGGTATTTAGGTAGTTTTTGAAGGGGATTTCAGCCATGGGGGGTATCTGAAGCCATCAGGAAGGTATTTAGGTAGTTTTTGAAGGGGATTTCAGCCATGGGGGGTATCTGAAGCCATCAGGAAGGTATTTAGGTAGTTTTTGAAGGGATTTCAGCCATGGGGGGGTATCTGAAGCCATCAGGAAGGTATTTAGGTAGTTTTTGAAGGGGATTTCAGCCATGGGGGGTATCTGAAGCCATCAGGAAGGTATTTAGGTAGTTTTTGAAGGGGATTTCAGCCATGGGGGGGTATCTGAAGCCATCAGGAAGGTATTTAGGTAGTTTTTGAAGGGGATTTCAGCCATGGGGGGGTATCTGAAGCCATCAGGAAGGTATTTAGGTAGTTTTTGAAGGGATTTCAGCCATGGGGGGTATCTGAAGCCATCAGGAAGGTATTTAGGTAGTTTTTGAAGGGGATTTCAGCCATGGGGGGGTATCTGAAGCCATCAGGAAGGTATTTAGGTAGTTTTTGAAGGGATTTCAGCCATGGGGGGTATCTGAAGCCATCAGGAAGGTATTTAGGTAGTTTTTGAAGGGGATTTCAGCCATGGGGGGGTATCTGAAGCCATCAGGAAGGTATTTAGGTAGTTTTTGAAGGGGATTTCAGCCATGGGGGGGTATCTGAAGCCATCAGGAAGGTATTTAGGTAGTTTTTGAAGGGGATTTCAGCCATGGGGGGGTATCTGAAGCCATCAGGAAGGTATTTAGGTAGTTTTTGAAGGGGATTTCAGCCATGGGGGGTATCTGAAGCCATCAGGAAGGTATTTAGGTAGTTTTTTGAAGGGGATTTCAGCCATGGGGGGTATCTGAAGCCATCAGGAAGGTATTTAGGTAGTTTTTGAAGGGGATTTCAGCCATGGGGGGGTATCTGAAGCCATCAGGAAGGTATTTAGGTAGTTTTTGAAGGGGATTTCAGCCATGGGGGGTATCTGAAGCCATCAGGAAGGTATTTAGGTAGTTTTTGAAGGGGATTTCAGCCATGGGGGGTATCTGAAGCCATCAGGAAGGTATTTAGGTAGTTTTTGAAGGGGATTTCAGCCATGGGGGGGGTATCTGAAGCCATCAGGAAGGTATTTAGGTAGTTTTTGAAGGGATTTCAGCCATGGGGGGTATCTGAAGCCATCAGGAAGGTATTTAGGTAGTTTTTGAAGGGGATTTCAGCCATGGGGGTATCTGAAGCCATCAGGAAGGTATTTAGGTAGTTTTTGAAGGGGATTTCAGCCATGGGGGGGTATCTGAAGCCATCAGGAAGGTATTTAGGTAGTTTTTGAAGGGATTTCAGCCATGGGGGGTATCTGAAGCCATCAGGAAGGTATTTAGGTAGTTTTTGAAGGGGATTTCAGCCATGGGGGGTATCTGAAGCCATCAGGAAGGTATTTAGGTAGTTTTTGAAGGGGATTTCAGCCATGGGGGGTATCTGAAGCCATCAGGAAGGTATTTAGGTAGTTTTTGAAGGGATTTCAGCCATGGGGGTATCTGAAGCCATCAGGAAGGTATTTAGGTAGTTTTTGAAGGGGATTTCAGCCATGGGGGGGTATCTGAAGCCATCAGGAAGGTATTTAGGTAGTTTTTGAAGGGGATTTCAGCCATGGGGGGTATCTGAAGCCATCAGGAAGGTATTTAGGTAGTTTTTGAAGGGGATTTCAGCCATGGGGGGGGTATCTGAAGCCATCAGGAAGGTATTTAGGTAGTTTTTGAAGGGATTTCAGCCATGGGGGGGTATCTGAAGCCATCAGGAAGGTATTTAGGTAGTTTTTGAAGGGGATTTCAGCCATGGGGGGGTATCTGAAGCCATCAGGAAGGTATTTAGGTAGTTTTTGAAGGGGATTTCAGCCATGGGGGGTATCTGAAGCCATCAGGAAGGTATTTAGGTAGTTTTTGAAGGGGATTTCAGCCATGGGGGGGTATCTGAAGCCATCAGGAAGGTATTTAGGTAGTTTTTGAAGGGGATTTCAGCCATGGGGGTATCTGAAGCCATCAGGAAGGTATTTAGGTAGTTTTTGAAGGGGATTTCAGCCATGGGGGGGTATCTGAAGCCATCAGGAAGGTATTTAGGTAGTTTTTGAAGGGATTTCAGCCATGGGGGGGGTATCTGAAGCCATCAGGAAGGTATTTAGGTAGTTTTTGAAGGGGATTTCAGCCATGGGGGGGTATCTGAAGCCATCAGGAAGGTATTTAGGTAGTTTTTGAAGGGGATTTCAGCCATGGGGGGTATCTGAAGCCATCAGGAAGGTATTTAGGTAGTTTTTGAAGGGATTTCAGCCATGGGGGGTATCTGAAGCCATCAGGAAGGTATTTAGGTAGTTTTTGAAGGGATTTCAGCCATGGGGGGGGTATCTGAAGCCATCAGGAAGGTATTTAGGTAGTTTTTGAAGGGGATTTCAGCCTGGGGGGTATCTGAAGCCATCAGGAAGGTATTTTGGTAGTTTTTGAAGGGGATTTCAGCTATGGGGGCTATTGATGGAGGTGGGAAAGGATGTGGTGGAGTGGGACATGTAGGGTAGCCCGAAGGCCAGATGGTTGCAGTCGCGAAGCGACTGTAACCATCTGGTAGAAATATAGCGGCAAAATGTCTTGCATTTAAGATATTAGGACTACACGAAAAACCTATTTGCAGGGTGTGAAGCCACCGACCGACGCTGTCGAGCTCGAATCGCCAAGGAAAAGTTGAACAAAACCAAAATTTATGAAGCCGAATAAATGTTTTTGTGGTTGTGCGGACAGAATTGCAATAATTGAGCAAAAAGTGTGCCCGGGGGTTATCGCCTTTTTGCGGGTGGCGTCAAAACTCCATCGCCGGCACAGAATTCGGGACAGATTCTGACAGAGACGAGCCCCCCCCCCCCGCCCCCAAGAAAACGCTAGACACACTTTCTATGTCCGGGTGATAACAGGGCTGTTTTCCTACATAAACAGCACAGAATTCGGAATCGCTGCAGTTTCTTGGACGCCCAGGTCAGAGATGTTTTCCATCATTCTGACCGGTTTAATTCTGGAATTTCGAAGCCTTATTTTGATAAATTTCCTTCTTAGGACTAATTTTTTAGACGTAAAAGTAAATTAAAATAAACTAAACTAAAGCAAAATAAATTACGGTTAGAAGGCTAAAAAAAGGTTCTTTCGCATTATCCGGGGGGAGGGGGCTAATTTTCGTCCAGAATGACTAGCAACGTCATAGTCGTGTTTTATCAGTGTTTTAGTAAAATTTAACTCTAGAACCGGAAAACATTTAAAGACCTTGAACGTTTTGAATTTAACCGAAAAACGACATTTTTGGCCGAAAAATCGAGATTTTTTTGTAGTTTTTAAAAGGAATTTTAAAATTTTTCAGTCCCTTTTCAGGAGGTTTTCACTGTTTAGCACCTGGCGGGCTAGCGCAAAACGGGACTTTTTTCGAGAACCTCGAACTTCTTGTTGGTAGGCTTACTTTCATATTTTGGTATGCATGTTCAAAACGCGATACCGAGCCGAACTGAACTCAAAGAAAAGATCGGGCTCCAAAAAAGCCTAGCGTATCCAAAAAACGTCTGGGCGGCCCAGAATCGAGCCCGAATCACAACGCTGATAATGCGCCGGGTACGAGCCGACCCCAACAGAACAATGCCCCGGCCCCAAAAGTATCTACACCGGGCTTTTCTCGGGTTCAACTTACTGCCGCATTTCGAGACTCGAAATACCTTCATTAATCTACTTTTTCCAGGAAATGGGAGCCGGGAAATCACCGCCCGAAAAGCGGACCGACATCGATGGGCAGAGCGAGAGGTCCAAAAATTTTTCTTTGGCTGACCCGAATTTTAGCAGTGTGAAAACCGTGGAAACGCCCGACCTCGACGCGAAGAGGGCCTCGATTTTGCAACTGGTACTGGTTAAATCCTTTCTAGACTTTGTCCCAATTGCAGTACCGGTACGCATCGCCCTTGGACCTTTGTCTGGTGGTGCTCGGATGTGTGGTGGCGATGGTGACCGGTGTCGGCTTCCCGTTTCTATCGATCATCATTGGGTTTGGTGGATACTGTATTGCTACAATCGCTTTTAGAAACGTGTCCCAGGCGTTTATCGTGTTGGAGAATGCGAGATGTAAGTTTTTTTTCTTACTGTCGTATTTATTGTTTTTTAGTGCAAAACGACACGGACGCTGGGATGGTGGAAGCGCGAGAGAAGTTCAAGCATGACGTTATTCAGGTATTTACAATTTGCGCTGTCTATAGGATTGAGGGGTTTTGAAATTAGACCAAAAACATGATTTCTTTCTCATTTCAGGCCTGTATCCACTATGCCATCGTTGGCGTCGTGATCATGGCTTCATCTTTTATACAGGTTGGAGCTTGAGAGTTTTCTTTTAGTTTTCTACACAGAAAATGTGCAACTATTAAAAATTGCTTTTACAGATCGCGTGCTTCATGGTGAGCTGCGAAAACGTCACCAACCGGATGAGAAGGGCATTCTTTAAGGTCTAGCTTTTTTGGTTTTAATATGTGAATTTTACAGGCTATAATGCGCCAGGACATCTCCTGGTACGACCGCAATCATTCTGGAACCCTGGCTACAAAGCTTTTCGAGTAAGCCGAGCCTAAGCGTTTCACTCTACATTTTGTAGCTCGATGGAACGAGTTCGTGAGGGTCTCGGTGATAAGATGGGGTTGATGTTCCAGTTCTCTGCACAGGTACGATTGGTCTATTAAGAAAAACAATTTAGAAAAGCGCGAAATTTTCACCGTAATTCTAGTTCTTCGGCGGCCTGATCGTTGCGCTGACGTACGACTGGAAGTTGACGCTGATCATGATGGCGCTATCACCTGTGCTTATCATTTGCGGTGCTTTTATGGCCCGGGTACGCTGACTTCAGTTTTTTCACAGCTATTTAAAAACGTTTCTACGTTCCCCGGCGTTTATCAGAAAATATGCTTGAAATTATCGAAAACATTAGATTTGAGCATAACAAAATTTAGATGATGGCCTCCGCAACAGCCGCCGAGATGAAAAAGTACGCGGTGGCCGGACAAATTGCTGAAGAAGTTCTAACATCGATAAGGACTGTATTTGCCTTCAACGGCCAAGAAAGGGAGTGCCGACGGTAGGCGGAAAAAGCTGACTTACCTTCATCTTCTTTAGATACGACCAAGCCCTGGAAGCCGGGAAAATCGACGGCTACAAGAAGTCAGTCTACATTGGCATCGGCCTGGCGAGCACCATGATTGTCATCTTCTCCACGTTTTGCCTGGCTTTTTGGGTGGGCACGGACTACATCTACTGGGGGATGACGTCTTCGGCTGATGTATTGACGGTATGGCTACTGTCAAAAATTTTGAGCATGTTTTAAGGTGTTCTTCTCGGTGATGATGGGCTCGATGGCGATGGGGAATGCCGGGCAACAGTTTGGGGTGCTTGGTGTTGCCCTTGGAGCTGCTGGCGTCGTTTTCCAAGTTATCGATCGGGTAGGTGATACACTATTTATTTTAATCCCGTTTTAGGAGCCAGAAATCGATTCCTATTCCGAAGAGGGCCAGAAACCGAAACAAATCCGCGGCGAGGTCCGAGTGGAAAATCTTCATTTCCGCTATCCATCCCGAAAAGATGTCCCAATTCTGAAGGTACGTACTGTCCACTTTGCGATTCTATATCCCGCCCCTGACTGCAGTATATTCTTCTATTATTTCAGGGAATTTCATTGACATGTGCCCCGGGTGAAACTGTGGCTTTGGTTGGATCATCTGGATGTGGAAAATCGACAATTGTTCAGCTTCTTCTTCGTTATTATAATCCAGATGAGGGAAAGGTGCATTTCTGAATTGATTTCTCAAAACTACAGTATCTTTTATTCAGATTACAATTGACGGAATTCCGATTGAAGAGCTAAATATTGAATGGGTCCGTCGAGCAATTGGAGTTGTCAGCCAAGAACCCGTTCTTTTTAATACAACAATTCTCGAGGTATTTATATTTGAAAAGGTTATTCAGGGGAATATTTCTTGTTTAGAATCTTCGTTATGGCAATCCAGATGCAACAGATGTCGAAATTCAAGCTGCTTTAAGAAAAGCGAATGCTCTGAATTTTATCAATGGCTTTCCACAGGGATTGAATACTCTAGTCGGAGATCGAGGTGCACAAATGTCTGGAGGACAGAAACAACGTATTGCTATTGCTCGAGCTCTGTTACGGTAACTCGGACATCTTTTATGAAATGATTTGTTTGAAGAGATCCCCGTATTCTTCTACTTGATGAGGCTACTTCTGCACTTGATGCTGAAAGTGAGAGTGTCGTACAGGCTGCTTTAGAGAACGTTTGTCTTTTGGGGTTGTTCTTTAATATTGCCGTTTTAGGCTTCAATTGGTCGCACAACTATCGTTATCGCACATCGTCTATCCACAATTCGAAACGCGAATAAAATTATTGCGATGAAGAATGGCAATGGTTTGTGTGTTTTTGTGAAAGTAAGTTAGTGTTTTTCTTAGTTGTGGAAGTGGGAAATCACGAGGAACTCTTGAAGAACAAAGGCCTCTACTATGAACTCGTGAATGCACAGGTCTTTGCTGATGTCGAGCCAAAGGGTGCGTGTCTATTTTTACCTAGCTCTAGTCTCGATTTTTAGGAGGTCGTCGTGGCAGCACAAAGGAAACCACACGCCAAATTTCCGGACAGATGTCACGGAAATCGACGGGGCTGAGCCAAATGGTGGGTTGTGAGAGGAATCATGAACTGAATTATCGTGAGACCAGCGCCCAAAACCCGCTTCGCGGGCCTTGGGCGCTGGAATGCGGCCCATGCATGAGAAATCGACTTTCCGATAGCTTGGGTCCTTCGGACCCCACCCCCCCCCCCCCCAACCGACCACACACGCGAGCGCAACTTGCAAGAATGAGGAAATTTCTATTTTTCACATTATGCAAATTAGCCTTCAGGGACCCCAAAAATGAATAAAACCGACTTTAACTTTGTAAACTTGTATTTTATCGTAATTCTGAGAACGCCATCGGAAACAGAAAGGTCGATTCCCCCGGGTGACGAAGAATTGGGGCGTTTCGGACACGGGAAGGCCCTCAAATCGGGCCTCGAAACTGACATCCACACACACACACAAAGATACACACCAAAATTATATAAGGTAGGATGCTAGTTTGTCATTATGCTCATTTTCTGAGATCTATGACAACATTTAGGATGCCGGCATTGACGTGGACGAGTTCGACAAAAAGAAGGAGACGGAACTGGAACGGCTGAGGAGAGGTTCTTGATTTTTTTGATTCCCTCTTCAAAAGAATGTTTTAGAAGCCGCCGAGGACGGGGCGGAAGAGCAGAACTTGTTGAAAATCCTGAAATATGCGCGAAGCGGTATGGCAGCAACATATGAAATTATCCTATTTTTTAGAATGGTGGCTGCTGGTGATCGGCTCGTTGGCCTGCGTCATCCAGGGTGCCGTATTTCCCGTATTTTCCCTATTTTTCACCCAGATTATGCAGGTTTGCGGATTATGCTAAGCAAATCGTAGTTTTCTTAGGTGTTCGCCGAGCCCGACCCGGAAGTGATGAGAAGGGACGGGCACCATTGGGCGTTGATGTTTTTGGCGCTGGCTGCCGTACAGGTTGATTTGTTATATCAGAAAAAGCATTTCCTGCGTAAAATTATAATGTAACGATCTATATAAAGACTTTTTAACCATAAACTTTTTAACTTTGAGGGCAGTACCATGCTCATCCAGTCGACGTTCTATGGTGTTGCCGCGGAACGGCTGACGATGCGACTGCGCTCAAAGGTAGGTAGATCAATCATGAGAATTAACTTTTTAAAAACTAAATAAACGAAAACAATCCTTGAAAAAGCTATTTCCATCCTTTAGGTATTCCGAAACGTACTCCGCCAAGACGGCGCCTATTTTGATCACCCCGCCCATTCACCGGGCAAAATCTCGACCCGTCTCGCCACCGACGCCCCCAATGTGAAAGCGGTACGATTGTAAAGGCCATCATTAATTGAATCATTTAATGCAAAAATTGTTTTTATTATGATTGTGATCTAATTGCAATTTTTAAAAATAGGCCATCGACTACCGTATCGGATCCGTTTTTAACGCTGCCGTTGCGCTGACGGCCGGCATTGGAATCGCCTTCTATTATGGCTGGCAGATGGCGTTGCTTAGTGGGTTTTATGACAATTAAAATATTTTAGAAAATACGATCGCTTATAATTTGAAATAATTTTATTTTCTTCGTTTTGTTTCGTATTTTCCCCGCTAAAAATAAAATTTTCCTATACAAACTATTTAGTGCTGGCGCTAATGCCTCTCGTTGGCGTCGCCCAATCGCTACGCGTGCGCCTTGAGCACGGCCGTAACAATGCGGACACGTCGGACCTGGAGGCGTCCGGAAAGGTATCCTTCAAGCGATCATATATTCCTTTTTAATATTTTCTACAGATTGCGATGGAAGCCGTGGAGAACATCAGAACAGTGCAGGCATTGACGTTGGAACGGACGTTGCACGATAAATTTGGGCACCATTTGGACGGGCCGCACCGGTCGAGCACGCGAAAAGCTCTAGTACAGGTCGGTGAACTTAACTGGGGCATTTAGCAATGATTTTCGGGGAATTTCTGGCTGCCGCAGAACATTTTCCATCAAGCTAACAATGGACTTTTCAGGGTGTTGCGTACGCGGTGGCCAACTCTGTAATGTTCTTCCTATCGGCGGCTGAATATCGGTTTGGGGCGTGGCTGATCATGGACCATCACATCAGTAACCCGATTAATGTCATGAGGTGGACAATCGATGGCGCAAAAAAAAACTAAATTACAGAGTAATGATGGCCATCCAATTCTCGTCCACCTCACTCGGCTTCGCTTCAGCCTATTTCCCGGAATACGCGAAGGCCAAATTCGCGGCGGGACTCATTTTCAAGATGCTGGGCGAAAACCCGTTGATTGACAACCTGACCCGGGGAGGAAAACTCACGGTAACTATCGAAAACTTTTTTTAGTATTTGCACAAAAATGCTTGCAAAATATTGTGTTTTAGCCGATTCACGGTGCGGTGACCTTCAAAGATGTGCGTTTCAAATACCCGCAGCGGCCAGAAATCGAGATTTTGAAAGGTAACGATTAAATAAAAGCGAGAATTTTGTGCCGAATTAGGCCTGAACTTGAAAGTGAACCCCGGAGAAACACTGGCATTGGTCGGTGCATCTGGATGTGGAAAAAGTACCGTTGTCCAATTACTCGAAAGATTCTACGATCCGAATAATGGATTCTTGGTATGTTCTTGTTATCAATAATCATTATCGATTATTTAGGAAGTAGACGGAGAAGATATCAAACAATTGAATCCTCAGCATTTGAGAAAACACATTGCCCTCGTTTCTCAAGAACCTATATTATTCGATTGCTCCATTAAAGTAAGTTCATTAGAAAATGAAAACAATAACTGCCTTTTAGGAAAATATCATCTACGGATTGCCCGAAAACTCAGTTTCTGATAGCGAAGTGCTGGAGGCGGCTAAGAAAGCGAATATTCACAAGTCAGTTTTGTAGATCGTCAATTAAGGGAAAATTCTAGGTTTGTGAGCGAATTACCGGATGGATATGAGACACGAGTTGGTGACAAGGGAACACAATTATCTGGAGGACAAAAGCAACGAGTGGCCATTGCCCGTGCTCTCATTAGAAACCCAAAAATATTACTTCTCGATGAGGCCACTTCAGCACTGGATACAGAATCTGAAAAGGTATTCAACAAACAACAACAAAACAATCATCTCTAATCGAATTCTATTTCAGTTGGTACAAGATGCCCTGGATAAAGCATCACAGGGTCGAACTTGTATCGTTATTGCCGATCGTCTATCTACTGTCGTTAATGCGAACTGTATAATGGTCGTCAGTGGAGGGCAGGTTATTGAACAAGGTAAGTTTCGTTTTTAATAGCTTTCTAGCCACAACACAAATAGATTTTAATAAGTTTTTCTAACAGAAAAACAAGCTAAAAATTACAAGAAACGATTTCAGGCACTCACAACGAGCTAATGGCCCTTCGGGGGGCATATTTCAACCTGAACATCAAACAACAGACCAAACAGCAGGCCGATAATTCCGTGGTCACCTTTTAACAATACTAAATTATTTGTATTTTGTCAGCCGAAGGATCTCTGGTTACGCAGCGGGTTTTTGATGTTGTTTGATTTCCGTTAACTTTCACTTTTTTCTCAGTGGATTGCAAAAAGATTTTAATTTGCTCTGAAGGCGCATTGTACGCAGATTTTTTGGGACGTGATAAACGGTTAAAGGGAAAACGCAGGTAGCACCGACTCGCCAGTCTTGGAAGAAAATGCTATTCAAAACTTGTAATGTCATTTTCCGACCTTTCTATTCTTTGCCCCAGACGGTTTAGTTCAGTGCACAACACAACTCAATGTGCTTTTTCCGTCGATACCTTAGCAAAAAAACCCATGGATGGGTGAAAATACACGAAGCAGCAAGCTGATAATTGTTGGAAACTCGTGTTTGTTTGACCAAAAATTTAGATCCATTTCCTATCAATATTTTATCGCCGATCGCTTGTAACTTTGTGGCATTTCTCACGGGAATTTGATGTTTTTGCTAACGTGAATTACAAAACCCCAATCCTTCACCGCTTTCTACATAAATTGACGCAATCGTCTAAAGATCTAGATCCCGTTTTCGAAATTATTTCTCGATATCAGCCCCTGCCCCCAGATTGCCCATGTCATTTGCAGACAAATAAAAGATACGAGGCCCTGTTTCTATGACTTCTGATCGCTTTTGGAAAGTAAATGAAGCAGCTGGAAGAATGGCCGGGAAACGGCTCCGAACCACACACTTCTACCCGGTGATAACGACGACTAGAAATTGGCTGAAAAGCCCGGAGAAGTGCGGGTTTGAGATAACCTCCCGCAGAAGACAATGGCAGCGCCTGGTCTTTTTTTGGGAAAACATTCTTTGGGGTTTTTTAGGGAAATTTAGCTTTGCATTCGGTGTTTGCGGGTTTTTTAACTTTTCCAATGGTGCTTGAGCATTATCGGGGGGAGGGCGCGGCGCATTAATTTTTGTATGATCTCAGAAATCCCTAGTAACAAAGTCTAAATAGCTTACTAGTGTATTTAGCAGAATTAAACTATATTCCAAGCGGAAGAAGTATTTAGAACATTTTAAATGTGTTTTACAAAACCGAAATTTCTATATTCTGTATTTTTAATGCAATTTTGTAAAAGTTATGTTTTTATAAGCAACAAAAAAAAATGGTTTGCAATACTACCTGCCTCAGGAAATCTTAGAAAAAATATACCCGCCACCGATAATGCCAAAGTACCATTCATCTAGCTTAAGTCGAGCTCCAAATTTGGGAGGATGTTTATCTAAAAGCCTGAATAAAACGTTAATAAAACAAGCGTTTTTGCGCATCGTTTCTTTACTCTCCTCTTGCACGATTTGAACGATTTTTTTCTTTTTTCTATTTATCAAATTTGGTAACACCTTTAATATAATGTTTTTAGGCGATGGGCGCGAAGAAGGCGTCACCTAAAGACCTCGACGACAGTCTGGATGAGAAAAGGTGGGTTATTTTAGATTTCTTTTTGGTAATTCTGGTAAACATTATGTGATTTTGCTCCAATGAGGTTTTCTAGATATCTCTATAGCTCTCTCTCTCTCTCGCTCTCTCACTGTCTCTCTCGCGTGTTTTTCTTTTCTGTTTTTTTTTTTTTTGTTTTTTTTTGTAGCAGTTAGCAGTTAAAAATCATGGAGCTCCAATTTTATTCCATCTTCTCTTCATATCTCTCTCGCTCTCTCTATCTCCCCACCCTTCTCTCTCTCGCGCTCTCTCTCTCTCTCTCTCTCTCTCTATCTCTCTCTCTCCCATTTCCCTCAGTTTATTTTGCCAGCCCAAAAGCACCAAAAGCGTCACCCACTGTTTCGAAAGTGCCTCTAGAAAGTAATACAAGCTCTGTGTATCCAAATACGAAACAAGCTGCACCGATCATAAACCTGCAAAGGGTCCCGCCCACTTTTCGCGGTTGTGCAATAGGGGGTGCCCCCTCTTCTCTCCATTTTGTGCTTTGTGCCTTCCGGCCACCCACAAGTCACAAACAACACGCAGCCCCGGCCTCCGCCGGGTCCAGAAATTGCCGCCCCATAAATGTGGCCCAAATGCGTGAATTATCAGGCTAGTGGACTGCAGAAAATTTGCATTCCGCCACAACAAAAAAAATGACCAAATTGGGTGTAGGCATCAAAGATCAAAATTTCGAGGGGCCGTGATGAAATTGTGAAATTGGTGTTTGGGGAATCGGCAATGATGAAACGCAATTATTACCTGCAAAAATGGACGGAATTATAAACAAAAAGTGCTACTATTTGGAGGCTAAAAGGTGAAGAAGAATTAAAAAAATTCTAGGAAGCCGCTACAGTATTTAATTTAAAAAATGGGTGCTGGACGCTTAGCAGGGGGGGGGGGAACTATTTTTCCCAGTAATCCTGTACGCTCTATAAAATAATATAAACCCTTCTTATAGCAATTTACAGGGGTTTTAGATACTAAAACTCACCAACAAATTTTTAAATTTCGAAAATTGTTGACTTTTTTTGTCAAAAAAGTATGAAAAATGACCAAAACAAACGAAAATTTCCGATTTTAAAAATGTTTAAAATAGTTTTTGTGACTTTCTAGCAGTCAAAAGTCCGAAAAACCGTTTGAAAAACACTATTTATTGTTAAAACGTTACTAGCGGGCGGAAAAAAAAAACAAAAATTGTTTTGCCTCCCTGCTAACCTCCCTCCCCCCGCTAACAGTCCAGTACCGAAAAACGGAATCCCAACAGCGCTGTACCTCATTTTTAGGCGTTTTTCAGGCGCCAAAATGCACATTTTCGCGCCCGGGGTTTCCCTGCAATTCGGGCGACTAGTCATCGCCCAGCCAGCCTTTTTTTTCGGTTTCGTATTTCTAGCGCTACTAGCTGTGGGGCCCGGGGAATCCCTCATCGACCTCGTTCAACACTTTTGCGTCTGCTATTCGGTCTCTCTCTCCCGGCCCGGGGACCCTCCTCCCACCTCCAAAATCACTCCCTCCTCGACCCCGCCCCTCCAATGCTCCATTTTCCGCGCGGCCTCAAAATGATCTTTCTGGATCAGAATATCATCCTTAAAATATGCCTAGAATCTACCTAAAATCCTACAGTATTTTCTCCTGAAAAGACTAAAAAATTTGAAGAAATTGTCCAAAATCATGTTTTACCAAGCTTTTTCATTTTTGCCAGACTTAATTTATGTAAAATCTAAAAATGTAGAGTAGAATATACCTTATGAAAAAATTTTCTGAAAAGAACGGCCAAAAATCTTATTTTTTCGAGATTTTGCTTTTATTGCGGTATGGCCTGCTTCTTTTTCCGCACCGAAAGGGCGTTCGTACCCCAATTAGCTTTTGTAAAGTTTCTATTTAAGTTATCCCACACTTGACACTGCCTCCAGCCCCCATGGCTCATTCCATATTCTCAGACCTGCTCTGGTTTATGCCGGCCCCAAAAACTCTCATTCCCTTGTTACCCCAAAAAACGAGCGTCATGGAAACGTTTGGGGGAGGGCTGCAATTAGACGATGAGGCCTCCGGGGCAAGCGGATTGGGAATTTTTGATTTTAGTTGATGTTAGGTGCCGGATTTTTTGTGGGGAAAAGATTGGATTTCATGACTTTGCTCTTTTCTCCAATTCAAAAAATCACGGAAAATATATTGGGGCTCCTCTGGCCTTGGAGCCAAATTTTTGCGTGGCCTAAATTATGCTGAAAAAAGCGGCTAGGTATAGATAAGTATTCCCTGTAAATAAAGTTTTTTTTATGCATTTTGCCGTTTCTTTCCGGCGACTGGCGTTTGAGTTGTTTCATTGGTCAAAACATCCCTCCATAGGCCCAACTTTGACCGGGCTCCGACATGGGACTCAAGGAAAAGCCTAAGGAGGCGAATGGCCTCCTCGATGTCGACGGGATACCCCTTTTAAAGGGCAGAGATAATAGGTA